TTTATATAGAAATCTGGATGAATGGAAATTGTTAGACATAAACGAAACAACGGCAATGATAAGGGTGAAAATAATATTGAGGAACCAAAGCCCACTCTCTTGAAATCCCGTGCAGTTATACGAACCAATCAAATACACGGTCCCACACGCTCAAACCATTTCAACGCGCTTTAGAAAACCTCGTGTCAAAATCACAAATTGAGATGAAAAATCTGTTTTGTACGATGGATTGTATGCTTATTTAATAGGATGAATCGTACAATTTTTTCTTTAAAACAATTTTCACATATATATATATATATATATTATTTTTTTTTTCTTTCTTATTTGAGTTATTTTCTTTCTTGCAAATTGAAATTGCAATTGTAGAGAGAGGTTCAGTCGTCAGTTCCTCCTGCTTTTGTTACCCTGCTACTAGGGTTACAGAGCAAAAAGGAATGTAAACAGGTAGGCTTCTGTCTTCATCTGTGAAGCCTGTTTTTAAAATTTGTTTTTTATATGGGTTATAAGGAGAATGAGGAAGTTAGTTATCTCTCTAACTGCCTAATAATTGTTTTCAATTTTACCAACGATGGGTTGGATCAAGTGGTAAGCGGCTTGTTCCAGCTTAAGTAAGGTCTCGAGTTCGAGTCCTTGTGAATGCAGCAGCCCTCGCTGGGAGACTCACCCACCATTTCCAGGTACGCGACGTGGATCGAGTTCGAATTAGTCGGGACGAAACCCCGGATACCGGATAGAAAACCAAAAAAAAAAAAAAATTGTTTTCAATTTTAAATTGTGTGGCTTCTTACCTGTTTGGCATTATGCCATATGGATATGTGTTATTCACGTTTATTTGGTTTTTTTCTATTTTATACACTTCAAGTACCTAGTCCTCATTCTTCTTTTGAAAAAATTGTAGATGGCAAAATTGGATTTGAATGATGATGATGAGAAAACAAACATTGAAATTATCTTTTGGAATGCCATGGGCATGCTTTCAGATGACGCTAAGAAGCTACCTCAGGCAAGTTCTATTCTTCTTGCTGGCATGGATTTGTCGGTGCATGTGTCTTCTTTTTTATCCAAGTGAACGTGCAAGTGCTTGTGCGTTTTTGAGTAATGCACATGCATCTAAAATGCATGTTGTATAGAATTTTTAATTTTTTTTTATTATTGTAGAAAGGGCATTGATTAAGTCACTGTAATCTCATCTTGTGGCACAAGGCCTACAAACTCCTATCATATCTTTCTTCAAAATTTCTCAAACTTCATCTGGTGGTTCCTCAAGTAAAATGCATGTTGCATAGAATTTATAATGTATGGCATTATTTAGAGTTATTTCTTCTTACTGAATTGTGATTTTGAATGATATTGAAACCATGATGAAATTTACTGGTGATTCTTGATTCAGTTGTGGTTTACAGCTTTACGTGTAGTTCTGAAGTATTATATAGATTTTCTCATTGGAAGCTACTTTCAGTTTATGCCAAATAGGTTGTGACACGTGGATTTTGTTTTTCCTATTTTGTTTTATTCTTTCAGTTATCAAATCTTGTCAAATGCCCTTCTATGACCTCCATTTCTCCAAAACAGCTACACCAAGAATGAAACAGTGCTGATCGCCAGCAATATGCCATAAATTAACAGAACTGCCATCCAACCTATTTTCGCCTTCATTCCGTCCTCACCCATGTTAGAAAAACTAGGATCGGAACCTCTTGGGTTTTGTGGGTTTTCTATTTTTATAGCTAGTTTTATAGTTAAAATATTGAAAATACAACACTGAAGAAAATTATTTTAATATTGATAACACCTCAAGAACTACAATTTTTTAATTCAAGGTTAATTCAACCAAGAGTATCACACCAAGAAGCTATAAGCCAGTTATTTGTCCAAATTTTATTAGAGAATAATGCCAACCCAGTGTAAAGTTGTTTCAATCTATATGCCATACTCGCGGAAAACTGATTCAATCTCAGAACGTGAAAACTCAGGAAGAAAGAAGGAATCATCAACTGGCCCTGATGCAGCAGCTGCTGCTCGAGAATTGGAGGTCGCCCAGTTCTTGTATATATGACAAAAAGCAATATTAGCATTTCTGCCAACTTTAACACGGCTTGGGTCCAAGACATATTCTTTCATCATCCATCCTGTCTTCTTGCCATCAATTTTATGGTTGAACACCCTCTTCACTCCCCACATAGTGTTATTATTATCCGATTATTGGTATTAATTTTGAATATCGAAAAATTTCTAATATTGAAATATTAGTTTCAGTGGATACCAAAGCCGATATTTGTCCACACCCCCACTAAAGACCCTCTGTTCTGTTCTTTCGTAACAAATTTAATTTGATTTTTTTAATTTTTAGATATAAATTTTAAATAAACAATTTAATATATTGTATACAAAATAATTAAAATGTTTAAAAATTTTATATTTAAAAAATTAAAAATTAAAAAATTAAATTAAAATTAGTAAAAATATATAAATGGAGTATTTAAAAGAAAAGTAAAATATATAACTAATTAAACATACTTGGGAGATTACACGGATGTTGTGTGAGGATTTCGTCCGTTTCTACGATGCGAGGAAATGTACAACCGGTGTTGACTCTCTTGCTGAGAATCGATTTGACGATCCTTTACAGGGGCGAAACTCCAACAACATGTTCCACAATGCAAGATCAGCCTCCTGATCCTCCATGAGCTGTTTAATAATAATAACAATGATGAATGTTAGAGAACCGCAAGGCAGTCGGTTTATAATGGTCGGCATCCAACATGAGTCAGCAACAAAAAGTCAAAAAGGCACTACACAAATCCCGACCCTGGGGGGAAATAGAAATCCCGGCCCTTCGGGGGAATGCAACTTGATGAACAATATTTTCATAATTCCACAACATTTATATTTGAATAAATTGAAAATAATATAATGATAATACCACTTAGATACTATAAATTAAAATTAGTATTTATTTACTTTGTTTCATAAAAATTATGAAAAAAATTGTTTTAAAATTATATTATTTTAATGAAATATTTTAAAAATAAAAATATTTTAATTTATATTTTAAAAATATTATTTTTAAGTTTTTAATAAAAATTTATTAAATTGACATAATTTTAAAATAATTTTTTTTAATATTTAAGAAATAAAGTGAATAAAAAAATTCTCCTAAAGTGAGGCTAAAATGGTCTCCAGAGCAATCCAAAAAATTTTTTAAGGACACTTTTTTTTTTTTTTTTGATAAATAAGAGAGATATTACAACAAGCAGCTAAAAAAATTATTATTATTTTTTTTTGACTGGATTAAGTTTCAGGGGCAAATAAAACATACATTTTTATTTTTTGGACAGCAAGATATTCTTTATTTAATGGAGTATACTCCTACACATAAAACATTACATACACATTAATCAAATATAAAAGACTTCTCCCCATACCATCAAACTCTTATCATCAAACTTAAAAACCCATTTTATTAATAAAACCAGCATTTATATATATCTTCGTACCATTGAGTCTAAAGCCCTTCACAGGCGGAGGGTGAGGTCCATATTGGCAGAATCATCGACATCAGTGGAAGTGGAGAGAGAATCAGCAGTCGAAACGCCCAGAAAGCTCCGAGGGGACGAACAAATTTTTTTCTTTCAATTTCCGCCGGAATCAATCAACACTACAAAACCGTATGATTTATGAGTATGAGAGTTGGGGCAATGGAAGAGGCCAAAGAAGCAATCTCTGGAGATAGAGCAGAGAATCCTTCAATGGACAAGACCAGGAAGGAGAAGAGGAAGGAGAGGAAGAAGATGAAGAGGAAGCAGCTCAGGAAGGAGGC